GTTCGTGGTGGGTGTTGATCTCAGATGTTTCACTGGGGCTAGCTTTATGCCCAGCTCGCCGCCGTACGTACAGAAACCTAGCAGCAGCCTCAGTTGGGCCTCTTGCTTAACTGGCTGCCATTTCGAAACCTTCTGTATCTTTCAGTAGTAGTTCTTCCATACAAATTGATTTCTAATGTAATTTTTATAGTTTAAAAGGTATCAAGCGGGGTTTGCCTAACGTATCCTAGCACAGCATGATACCAGTGTGTACTTTTGAAGCGTCCTGTTTCTGTTTGGATTACAAAGGTTTTATATAGATGTATTTTATCATTTTAATAAACACAATAAAATTTTATTTTGCAGTCACTGCATGTAATAGAGCACAGTCCTCCTCTTTTTTGTAGCACCGGCAGGTACTTCTATATGATCTACGTTTATATTGTTATTTTCATGCCAGAGGATCTCAAATCATTTTACAGACTTCAGTTAATACTAATGTGTAGCCACTTCATGAGTGAGATGTGGCAGCGCAGAAACTTTAGGTCATAGCAAGTTTAACTGGAACTCGTGTAAGTTTGTTGTCGTTGGGAATGCTTTTAAAAAAATTACATATATGTAATGCCCTACTATCATGATAGTGCACTTTAGTAATCAGACATGGTATACTTAATTCTCTCAATTTTTAGAAACTACTGGCATGCATCCTCTTCAAAAATGCAGAGTCCTCTGCCAACTCTATAAGCACCTAGCCTGTGTAGTACCAAATTTTTAGGAGCCCTCAGCCTTTGTCTAACTGCAGCTGATAAAGTCAGCAACAGAGCACTCATTTCAGCTAGTGACAGCACACGAGAAGATACAGCTTTTGTTTTGCTTAAAAGAAGGCATCGAGAAATATGACATATAAGTTGATGTTATCTTGCTGTTTTAATAATTTGACACAAACTGGAATTCCTGAGCTTGCTGGAGACAGAGTGGTATTGCGCAAGTGGCAGAAAGTAGAATCAGCTTCGCTACAGGAGGGTAATATAGCAGACATGAAGAGATTTTTGAAAATGCTGAGAAATATTTGGAACAATATAAGGTCGAAAATGTAGCTTTATAACATGTATTAGTGCTTGCACCTAATAAAAGTGAGTAGGTTATTTTATAACTCCTGAACAATATTTTTAGTCATAAAATCTTATCTCAAAAGGATCTTTAAATTCAAAGTGAAATCGCTTCACAGGCTGACCTAGCCACTAGTATTTAATTAGCTTCTGGATGATTATTCTTTTTTAACATTTATGTCCATGATTAAAATCATGCTGTTTGTGTGCTCTGATTCTGCGAAAATAGCCATCAGCTGGTGAGCAAAGGGCAGATAGTATTTGGTAAGTGCGGAAACTTTTTCACTCTTCTCAGAAACTGCTTGGAGTCACAGCAGCTTCATCTTCACAGTTCTGAAAATATCTGAAATTATGTCTTCCTGCTGGCATGTGGTTTTACATCTTCAACCTCATTTTTTTCTAAACAGCATAATCAATGTATTACTGGACATGTTGAAACAGATTGGATCTGTGTGGTCCCCACAGCACACAGCACCACTTTGAAAGAGAGGAGTTTTTTGTCTTGGTTTCTCTTTTCTCCAAACCCATGAGAAGATTCGGCTCTGGAGGCCCTCAACAATACGAATCACAGGCATTGTCTGGAGTCTGCAATTTGGCTAAATAGTCTGTTCTTTCGAACAAAAGCTACCATGGCAATTCTGTTGTTTAAGAGGTTAATAACTAAGTTGGAAAAAACATGTGTAAGGTTGGGCAAATCACAAAAGGAAGTAAAATACGGTTTTGAACTGTTAAGACGTTTCTATGGCAAAGCAACACATTACCATAATTTGGTCCAGAGTGTTTCTTTTTCTTTCTTGTCCTTACCAAAGTATATCCATCTTCTGAATATTTCACCTGGGCTTTTAACTGCTGTGCTGGAAAGAAAGAAAAAGAAGGAGTGAGAACCATATCTCAACTCGGATAGGGGCATTTATCTCTCAAAACAGGGCCTGGGCAAAGGCTAAAGCTCAGAACAGCGAGTTACCCTGCAGTTACGCAAAGACGGAGCAGAGGATTTGGTGCTCTCTGTTCCATAGATAAGCGCAGTTTCTCAATTGTCTGATATTTTTGACAGATTTTTGCAAGTGTGTAGAATAAGAATAAATCACATTTAAATGAGAAGGGACACATTTGTATTTGTTTTGTCAGATGTAAGTAACAAAATATGTAAGGTACTAGAGAACGAGAAGACAAGCTTTTAAAAACCTCTCAAATTTTAATGTGGCATTCAGTCTGGGGGAGTGGGGCAGAGACATTGCGAGGTATGAATCTGCTAACGCTTTTTCGCCATGTAAGCCTTTTTTTATTTTCCTTCCTATATTCAGTCTTTTATAAGCCCAGCACAGAGAACCTCATGAAAATCAAAAAATGGCAAGGCCACCTTTCCTTCAAGCTCTGAAAAATGTGCAGTAATAAGATCACCTATTAGAAGCAGGTGATGTTTGAAGTCGTATATCTAAACTTGCTGTAGGGGAGGTGTTTCAGGTTGAAAAAAGAAAGAGGGGCCTGGTCTTGGAGGACTTTGTTCTCTGCAGTCATCTGCTCTGCTGCTAATTTTCTTTTGAGTTATTACCATTGATGCGCTTCTCATTCTACCTAGGCCCAGATGAGAGATGTGGCATGTAAAAAGAATGGAGGAAAAGGAATGCAAAAACCTCATGTCTTGCATAAGCTGGCAGTTCTTTCTGCAGTATCTTTCTCCAGTGATGTTGAGCATTTGAGGATGTCTGCCCTATATATGACACAAATATTTAAAGGATCAAGAGATTGTCTCTAAAATTGTTTTTTTGCTGGCCCAAACCTGTGTTACAATGTTTTGTTCACTGGGTGCAAAAATTTGCCTATTTTGATTTTGTTGATGATAGAAACGTTGGAGTAGGAACCGACGTCAGTTTACTCTCTTTATGATGCGTGGTAGTTTGTATCTCCACCCTTTTCGATGGATATTTTGCTCCAGTGGTGTGTTTAATTAAAATAAAGTAAGTTGATCTTTTTGTAAACTTTTCATGAACTGACTACATCAATTTCTCATGTAGGTGATTGGCCATCCCAAGTACCAAGAATCCAAAAGAATTGCAATCTTTCTGAGCATGCCAGATGAAATCCAGACAGAAGAAATCATTAATGACATTTTTAAGCAAGGCAAAGAGTGTTTCATCCCACGTTACAAGCCTCACAGCAATCACATGGACATGCTGAAGTTATCATCAGCTGAAGACATTTCTTCACTTACTTTGACATCCTGGAATATTCTTCAGCCTAGTGATGATGACAGTGTAAGAGAGGAGGCTCTTGCCGGTGGTGAGTATTTTCTTCCTACATTGTGGAGTTGTTGAGTAGTAGGAAATAATCTGATAGCAGGAGTGAAATGAAATGTTACGGTTTGGTTTTATATGTTGTAGAGGTGCTTAAGTCAATGTAAGGAGATGCTCCTTTCTCTTGACTGTTTTTTTCTACCCTATGCCACCCCTGTGATGTGCCAACAGGACAGGAGCAAGACTGCACGGTTGATCCAGCTGAAGGAAACTCAGCCCTCCAGATAGATCAGCTTCTTGGTCCGGTTTGTAGACATCCTCAATGCAGTCTTGGCAAGTCTAATAGAGGCTCATGAAGGAGATGGGCTTGCCAGGAGTGGCTTGGGCTACCATTGAAAGTCACGGGGTATTCAGGGTTTTAGGATGCACTCTGAAAACTTTAGTTTCCGCTGTCTGAAAGGTAGGGAGCTTTTCAGATGATGCCTGTAGGCTGACATGAAAATTATGTGAAGTCTTTGATCCTGCAAATTGTATTGCATGGATGAATCACAGTGCTTATATCCAGCCTGCCCATGCAGAACAGCTCTCCGAACTGAGACCTTAGACTGAAAATAAAAGGACTTCCTTGTAGGCTTGGATGAATATAAATCTTTTCCATCATTATTCCATCACATTTTTATTTTGATCTTATAATGCCTGGATTCTTCATAGGGTTGAAAAGTTAAAAGTTCATTTAGATCTAGCTAGTGGTATGTGTGTTTTGGTCCCAAAATAACCTCTCTCTTTCTTAACCTAAAATTCCCCAACTTGTACAAACTTGTAAACAAAGTTACTTTTTCTGTGTCTGCATTCATTATTTGCATTGTTTTTGTAAACACATTAATATCTTCCTGAAACACCTGCAGAAATGTGTAATGTTATTAATGGAAAACTCATGTTGAAGTCATGCTTGAAACCTCAGCCTGGGAAAATTTTGTCTAGGTGGAAATTCACCATGCAGCCAGCTTCCGCACCTCACAGACTTAACCGTTTTTTTAATGCTCCACAAAGGAACATAACATTTATATGATTCTCTTTGGTTGAACTTGCGTTTGTAGTTGCTTTGGGATGCCAATGTACTTTCCCAGAACACTTCACTGTGTGTGTTTGTCTTTTATTTTCAGCCTTTACCTCTTTCATAATTCAGAATCTTTTCTGTGTCCCCCTTTCAGCTAGCGAGGGATTTCGCTGCTTCATACAACCATCTTCTTTACGTTTAATATTTAGCACTGTTACTTATTTTCCTAATTTTTGTAAAAAATTTGTGTATATCGGTGGGATTTAGGTGCCTTTGAAGTTAACCCTTAAAATTCCCAGGGTTCTGCTGGCTGAGCTTAGTTCAGGCCTTCGGGACAAGCTTTTGTACTACTGATGAGCTGTGGTTAATTGAATTTAACAAGTCTGCTGCAGAGATCACAGAGTAAGCACACAACAATTTTAGGTATGGTGGGAGCAAGGACTACCTGGTGTAGAGTGCACTGGGATGTACCAGCTGGGGATGGGCCAGGTGCCAGGTGGTGAAGATGGGGGAAGGCAGGAGCAATCTGTGGTACCTCGCTAGTTCTGGAGCTGCTGTTTGGTTCTCTGCTCCACGGTATGATTGTGGGCAGAGAGCAAAGCCAAGAGAGCTACTGCAGTCTACAGAGAGATGCCAGGAGAGCTGCAATTGGCGGTTGTAACAGATGGTGTATGTCCATGTCAGACTTCTCCAGCCTAAAGCTCAATTTCAGTCTTGTTTGTACTCAGTAATAATTTGGTTTGGATTGGAAGTCAGACCTTGCTCCTTTATCCTTGGACAGCTTTTGTAGATTAGAGAGTAGTTTAGGTTTTTTTCACTATTGCATAATCAGACCTCCCCTCCCTCCCTCTCCAGTTTGTCCTCACAGAAACACACACTGCACCTTAGTGTGTCTTTAAATTCCTTTTGCTATATTTTTTTGTGTCAGTTGTAATATTCTTTGAACTTTGGTACATTTGCAGGAATG